TTCGCTCTAGAATCATTTTAAAAAATTTTTTATTTATCTTTTGGTTTTGGTTAATCTAGAAATCGTCTCATGGAGCCAAGGAACTCTGAGCCTGTAGTGAGTTTCCTTGTTTGAGTAGAGTTAAAGAGCATTGTTTAGGGATTTCTCTATGGTATACCCAGTAGTATGCAAAGCCCCATAATCGAAACCCAGAGCAACACATTGGTTTCACTATGGTCTTGTAGACTAGTAATCTCAGGATAGATCCTTTTCCGATAAGTCAGAATGTTCCAAAGTTCCTCAGCATCACATTGAGCTGATTCTTTCTGTAAGTCAGATGAGTTTTCCAGGCTAGCTTTATGTCAAGTCCCTGGTATCGTACGGACAGGAGGACACTGCCCTCTTCTTAGCGCAAAGCTGTCGCAAATGGCCTACTTGGGTTTAACTTTTATGCTCGCTCTTAGCCAAGTGGTCATGAGGTGGAGCTGCAGCTTCTAAGGCACAAGTATTTGTGGATGCCCCTATTTCCAGATCCGAATTATTTATAGTCAAAGTCTGGCAGGCAGACCAGACTGTATTGACCAAGCTGATCGGCAGTAAATATGTGCATATCGTTTGAATGAGTGCTGGCACGCCTCCTTTTGCTGCCCAGCAGACTGAGCTCGCTTCACTTGAATTCAATATAAAAATCAGAATAGTTCAGTGTAGCAAGAGAAAACAACAATATAAATATATTAAATATTTCAATATATTAAACATTTGCCAACGCAAGCAGCCTGCAAACAGTTGCTTAAGTGAGTCTATATTTACCATGAAAAGGCTCCTAAATAATTTCGCAGTCCCTTCCAAGAAGCGGGGAGCAGAGCTCCTTGGCTGGGGCCAGACCAAGTTAACAAATAGCCAAGAGAAACTGGAGCAGAAAACTGGCTGCAATAAATGCAGAGACACAGACACATACATATGCAAATACTCATATATGTGTACATGAATCTACTACGTACACACATAGTATACATGTATATCTATTACATTTGTATTTGTGCCTGTGTGTATGTGTGTGTGTGTGTGTGTGTGTGTGTGTGCCTTTATTTGGCAACTGTCTGCATTTGGGTGACCCGCATTAATCACATAAACGCACAGCAGTCCCCGAAAAGAAAACAAGAAAAGAAAAGAAAAGAAAAAAAAAGAGAGAAATATATGTACATATGTATATGCGATGGCCCCGATACGCATCCGTGTCCCGATCCCGAACTGTAACCCGAAATCCGTAATGTAGCGGCGAATCGAGCGCTGCCCCGGACCGAAAGAAGCTCAGATGTCGCACCATTAAGTCCAACAACAAATCGCAACAAAATCGCAACGAATCGAATTTAAAAGCGAATTACAATCAAATGTATTTAAGCACTAAGCCGACCAAAAATTTAACCTCCATACTCAGCCAGCTGGCAAAGAGCCCCCTACTGCCGCTCCGCCTCTCTCCGACACACGCCGTAACCAACACGGCGCACAGCTCTCAATCAGATACAAATAGAGTGAGGGAGAGAGGGGAAGAGAGTGGGAGAGAGAGTGAGAGAGAGACAGACACCCAATTGACTTTGGTTATACCGAAATAAAAAACAACAACAACAACAACAGCATGCAGACACTTTTTGTGTGTGTTCCATTTGTGTGTGTGTGTGTGTGTGTGTGTGTGTTCGGGTGTGCCAATTGTTGACTGACTCGATTGAACTTTGTAGTGTGTTGTTTTTGCTTTTTTATGTATGCGTGTGTGGGTGGGTGTGTGGGTGGGTGTGTGGGTGGGTGGGTGTGTGTATATATGGTGGGGGCTGGCGTTTTTATATAGTGCTGCTAGCTTCAATCCGTTGTCGTTGACGCCGACGGAAGCCATAAAACAGCTGCCCACCCCCCAGCCTTACCCCCGTTTCACTCACACACACACACAAACACACGCACACAGACACACTCGCACAGTGAATAGGCCGTTACGAGCAGAAGAAGAAGAGAGAGAAAGAGAGTGGAAAAAAAGCGCGCAGCCACAAAGCCGACATTGCATTGCCCAAATGGCAAACGAGCAGCCAAAGGAAAATCCACAACGCCCACACGGAATCATTGAAATTACCTCTCTGATGGACTTAAATAAGTTTTTTCTTTTTTTCTTTTTTTTTTTTTTTTTTTTTTTTTTTTTGCTATGTTTTTATTTGAAGCATTTGTGTGGAATGCGCCGAGTTGCCTCATTGTCGCAATCGACGCCGCCATCAGCAGGGATATCGAATAAGCCATCAAAGAACATAAGCAATGCGACGGTCAAATCTGTTTGAGCCACACCTGCTGCAAAGCCTCAACAATTTTGCAATGCATCAAGCAACTATACAATGCACAATAATTGATAGATATATATACATATATGTATATACGTATATATATGTATAACAAGTGAGAACGTTGCAGTTGGGCCTTACCAACTGCAGAATACTCATTCACATCCCATCTGCAATCGAGTAGCTAAGTTTAGCTTTAATACTGTAGAAAATTCAGTTTTTCCCGATTTGCCATGCCCCTACTAGGCGTAGCCACCTCTCACATTTTTGGGCAGTTCTAAGAACGAGCTAACGGTAACCTAACTGCACAATTTGGATGCTTACGCAAGGCTACTATTAACTCATCTATCCAAATTTGAAGCTTCTAGCTCTTGAACTGTAGGAGATATACACTTTTGCGGTTTGACACGCCCCCTGTGGGAGGACATGTAGAATCAAGGTCACTGACAAAGTCAAGGTCACACACACACATCGCGGTCACCGCCCCCTCAAGTTCACCGCCCCCTCAAGGCCACCGCCCCCTCAAGGTCACTGGCTTCTCAAAGACATTACCCTTTCAAGGTCTCATCCCCTCTCTCTGCCATTTATGTTTTGTCGATAACTCACCCGATAGCTGTTTTATGGAGAATAATCGATTAATTGATTCGTTTTTTCAGCTTTATTGGAATACTATTCGACCTGGCGTTTTCAGATTCATTGTGTTTATATATAATATGATGGGGCTCCCTTGGAGTAACCACACAATTTGATTCGTTTTTCATTACAATGAAAGATAATCCTCCTCCTCCTATTTTTCATTCAGTTGAGACTTCAATTAGTATTTAACTTGTGTGAGATAATTATTATTTAACTTAAATTAATTTTATAATTTTTTATATTGATTTAATTTCTTATTGAACTTCACTTTGTAAACTCTATTTTGTTATGGTATTGTTACTACGCAGCTGATCTTATTCGATAGATTATTTGTCTTCATCGATATGTGGCTCACATATGCATGTATGTAAAGCTCACAAACATATAATCAGTTACCTACAAATTTTGACTCATATTAGATTCAAATACATACATACTCATTACAGATGTTAACATTGAGTTACTAAGCCACTTAATAAGTTTGTTTTTATGCACAGTCGCACTGCTATTTTAAAGAGCGGAACGCACATGTTGGATTCATTGCAGTCTGTTACTAGCAGAATCTTTATTCAGTGCGTTAGTATTAGTGTCAGCCTGTGGTGAGTTGTCTTGAGTTGTTGTAATAATGTTATCCGAGTGAGTTTGCGTCTTAGCTAAATGCTTTCCATTTCTGATTCGTGTCCACTATTTAATTGTCACACCGTGAGCGTAAAAGAGACAACTATAGCTGTTGCTGAACGCAATCCCGCCAGCTGTTGAGTGGGAGAGCGACGGCTTTATGAGGCCAATCGCATAGGCTCGCGATGATTGGCAGTGAACGAAGAGAAGCATTTAGAAATTGTTATTCTGCGAGAGCTCAATGTGAAAGAGAGCAAGTCTAATTGGAATAACATTTGCCATTCCAATTGCCAATTGTGGTGAACAAACTGAGACAATTTTATATACAAATTTATACTCATACATATGTATATTTATCAGAGTAAGGCTTAAGGATTATAATATACAACGAACATTCCAATTTTAATTTATTTTTGTTTGCAGCGCTGTTAGTTGTTTTGTACGTTGACACTACCAAGCCGGAAGTTTGGACTATAGACAGACAAACACAAATACACACACACTTATATACACTCAAATATATATATATATATATATATATAAATAGTCACATGAAGCATGGAGCCTGGCGCTTGGAAACCAATAAATATTGTTCATCCACTCGAATGATTTTTAACTAAAAATCGTTGAACCTTTGCCACAGCCCAAAACACCAACCGAAGCGCTATATAAATACATGTGAGTGTTACTCTGTGTGTGTATGTGTGTGTGTGTGCTGTTGTGTGTATAGCCTATACATAGACCAACTAGACCAACAACCAGCCACTTAATGCAACACAATGGAGAGCACAGCAGATAGCTGATACCGAGTTACGGCTGCCCAGAAATAGATCGATGCCCGAAACTCCCAACTGGGAGAGCAACAAGGGCAATCGAATTTTAAACCAAAAAGATAGAAAAAGAAAATGAGAAAAATCAAACATTTACCGTTGTTGCATATATACGAAATCGAGCGCTTGACCACACCTAGACCAAGCACGGCAATCAAGAATTTGGCTAAAACAGTGCCATTGGCCAACACTCAGCGTTGTGTTCATATATGCGAAACATGCGAAATTGTTCCGGAAGTAGTTGTGTGCCCTGGCAATGGGCAAAGTGGGTATATTGGTTGACTGCGAATGTGAATGGCAGAACGAATTGGATAGACCTGAATATGGCCAACTGTGGAACTGTTTGTCTACCTAACTGAATATTAACAATCTTGCCTATTGTTCTTCTTCTTTCGCCTAGTGCTAATGCATCTTTGAATGCAGTTGTTAGATCTTCGCTTGCGAATTGTTGAAATGCAACAGAAATTGAAACATTTTGTTATCCGAGATGGTCTATTTTTGGTTAAATGCAGAAGAGACCCATCAGCATAGAACCCCTTCGAGTGATAATCCACAAACTGTCAAAACCACAACGAATTTGTGTCCAATAAATCCCATTCCATTAATTTTACAAATTAACTTCATTATTTAAATTATTCGGATACAAGCCGTAACTTTTAATAAACAAAGAAACACCCTATATAAGCTCCAGTGGAATGCAATTGAGTTTTCTTTTCGAGCCAAATCAGAATAGATGAAGACTGTAAAACATCTTGGTTTTAATTAAGCCAAGATACAGCTGAGAGCTGAGCTGAAACGTGCTGCCTGCCTATGGCAAGCCGAGCAGAATTTGAATGTCAGACTGAAGGACTAAATGTGTATGTATGTGTTTGCGTGTGTGCGTGTGTGTGTGTGTATGTGTGTGTGTGACACAGTGCACTGGCAATTGCGCAATAAGTGAGCTACTTGAAGGGGTAGCCAGCAGCTGGAGCAACGGCAAATTTATAGCCCTATTGAAAATTCCCAACGATTTTCAAATGTCAAGCAGCAGGACGCGGCCAAGGAGGCGGCGGCTAGTGGAGAGTGGAGAGTGGTGGTACGCCAAGGGGCAGCTAGGTAATGCAGCGACGTCATTGTGGCGGCAAGTGCAATAATAAATTTTATAAAAGTCATTAATCTTTTTTGCTGGCCAAGAGGGTCCACGCTGCAGCTGGACAAGATCTGCCACTGGGCACTGGGCCCACCACACACTCTCAGTCTCTGGCGGTTGGGGTGGCCGGGCGGGTCAGTGGCTCGTGATGCTTGATTTCTTAGTAGCCCATAAAACAACGTAATAAGATGTCTCGGGCGCTAGAGAAGCCCAACCAGCCCCAGGTCCACATCGCACGCCACTATTCTCTCAATCTTTGCCAGTGCAATGTGATATATATGCATATGCCTGTGTGTGTGTGTGTTTGTGTGTGTGTGTGTGTGTGCATGTGTGTACGTGTGTTTGTGTGCATTTTTGCATTCGCACTCGGAACTTTTTAATACGGCTTGTTAGGGAAGGATTTTCGAGCGTGTTGCCACAACGACTGCATCAGGACGCAGGAGCAGCAAAGTCAAGCAGCAGCAGCAGGAGCAGCAAAAAGAAAACGTTCAAGCACATTATAGGGACGATGTACAGTGCTAAGACGCAGAGCCGCGTGACAACATATTGTGACGGCTCTACAAAGTGCGGGTGATCCATCACCGTTGCAAGTTGCGAAGCGAAGTGAAAGTTTCCTCGTCTATTAAAGTTGCAGCAGCTTTAGCAGTCACTTTCAAGTGAATGCCTCTTGTTTCAGCTCGGATGGATTGATAAATCGTTCATTCATCAACGCTCTATGGCTGCCGTTCGCTTTTTCAACTCGGGCAACGAAAGGCGATTATGCTCGGATCGATTGTCTTGACCGTTGCGTGGGCGTGGGCGTGCCTCGGTATGGGCTAGTCGAAATTCCAAATGGCTTAACTGACCGATTAGCTGGAGACTGCGGTCTGCTTCAGAGTTTCACACTGGCGATGATCTCGAGTGCCGGGAGAGATGATGAGAGATACTTTTTACTCCACTGAATCCTATGTGCTGTAAGAATTTGAGGTAAATTATCCTTGGTTAGCTGAATAAGCAAGCAAATTCGTAACTGACCAATGGATTATTGTTAAACTGACTATTGAAATTGACTATTGCAAAGTACTACAACGTGCCGCGTATTGTTTTAATTTCAAATACTAATTTTAAATAAATTTTATTTTGTATATCTTGCTTAAATTTGTACAGTCACTATAATTATGTGTCAACAAAGAGTGAGCACGAACAGAACAGCTTCAAAGCCACCTGAGTTGCCCGAAATCTTTTCATCAGAGCCCTTTTACACTCGCATATATTATGATATATGCAGGCTCAGATTATCTTAGGGGGCTGGCGTTTCCAGTCAGACATTCAAAGGGAGAGCACAATCAGTCGAGCTCAGCTCTTATTATGATGGGAGAGTATGTAGGCCTATTCCTACTATAATTATTCTGTTGTATATCAACTACATTATTTGTTTGTTTACCAAGTTACTCAGCTATATATAAACCACATAATTTTATTGAATCCAGGTCGATTCATCAGCGCTAGACACCGCTGGTATCTCAAATTGATAGGGCTCTAGGGAGAGAGCGCTTAGGTTAGCTTATCGCTTAGCGATATATCGGCTATGTTTTGTTTTTTTTTTTTTTTTTTTTCGACAGCCTCAAGGTTATTGTTAGATTCTGAGACCTAACTCCAGATAAGTTTTACCTTAGAATCATGCTGAAACTAGAATTTTCTATTCTAGTTTCTATTTGCACTCAATTTATATCATTGTCAATTTTAGTATTTACGATGTTATAAACAACTAAGAAAAAATGGAACCCAAATTAAAGGGCTATCAAAATAAAAATAAAAAATAATAAATTTCTATTTTCTTTGCTTTAATTTTGAATAAAATTAAACTTGATCTATTTATTATTATTATTGTGAATGCTTTCCAGTTTTATTTTTTAATTTATTTAATCTATATATTTTTTTTTTTTTTGGTATTATTTACCGTTCAAGTTTGCGTTTCATTTCAATACGAAATATTAGGTCCTTTTAAAGACTAAAATTTATAATGATATTAAAAATTGAGTGTCAATGAGACTATAAAAGATGAGAGTATTGTTTTATAAAAATGTATATGAAAAGAGACTAAAAACTATAGACGAGTGATGGGACTATTGCTATTCGACTTCCACTCTCATATTAAGTAATAGGATGTTAAACTAAATATGTTTACTATTGCAGATCAAAGCTCTAAGCAAAGTGAGATTCGCCCGTCTCATCTTCATAAGGAATCTGCACCTTCAGTGCAATATAACTGGCATACAGTCATCTAAACTTTAAAGCTGAGTCCTTGAGTCCTCGTGCCACTGTTCAACTGCCCAGACAATCGCCTGATTTAAATAACAAACCATTCTTCAGTGCGAGCACCCCATTGACCTCTCATCGAATGCGTCAATTTGTCATTAGGTAATTAAATATGAAAATGATGTCAATGAGCGTCGCACATTTGAGATTCATTGGGAGAGTATGTTATGATAATGGGTAATTGCGAGTAACTATAATGAGCATTAATTAATTCCACTTGTCATTTAAAGAGGTCCTGCCCCACGCACAGAGGCGCCCTCCACACACTGCCCCGCCTCTGTGGCCATTTGATTCATATTTAATTTCAATTTCTAGCCCAAAAAAACCGCAAAAGTGTAATGCAATTAGGCTGATAAATAAACCGAGCGAATCATACCAGCTCTGTCTGCGGCAATGCCCACTCCCTGGGGCATATTAATTATTTACCAAATTGATTTCCATTCACGCACTCAAAAATTGTGGGGCACAGCCCCAGTCAAGTGCCGCATGCTGGCAACTCTGGCAACTCTGGCAGCTCCACTCAGAGCACAGCACACAGCAGGCCTCTCCATCCAATTAACAGTTCATTAGCTTGATTTAGAGCCACCCCCACCCCCCCCACCACCTTGCGAATGCGATACGAGACAATGGAGACTCAACTAATAGTCGTCTGCTTAACCAATTGGCGGGGCATTGTATTTCCAATTGGAATTGCCATTGTGGCAGCAGGTGCAAAGAGAATTACATGTTTTAAATGCCTCACACTCGCAAGTGGCAGCCAATCTGATGACATTTGAGGCTACTCCTAGACAAGGGCAAAGGTCAAGTTTATAGAAATCGATTTAAATCGATAACAAACAAAATATAAAGAGCCTTTAATGGCTTGCTCACTACTGTCGAGTGGCTCAGTGAAGAGAAGTCTATCTATGCCTAAATGTTAGTTAGTCAGTCTCAAAGGAGCGTCTATCTCAAATGCATTCAAGTATTTTCCTATAACATGCAAAGATGCAATTTGTCTATAGCTATCGATAAAAATATTCTACAAGCCTGAAACAATGTGTATTATAAAAATTAAAAATAAGACTTATAATTTGATTATTATATGAAAATTGATCTGTAATGATTATTTTTGATTTTTATCATACAAATTTATGTTAATAATAAAAAATATATTTTTTTTTTTAAATTACTCAAAAAATAATTTTTATTTTTTAATTTTTTGCTATACAAATTGTAAGCATTACGGTCCCTGCTAGTAAGTGTTCAGCCTTCAATGTAAATCAGCATGTGAATGCAAATCGATTAAAATAGATTTCAAACATCCTAATAAAGTCGATAAAGTGCTTAAGTTCACTTAATATATGTAGATATACATAGATAGTTCAATCTCAGGGCACATTTATGAGACGTTTCTCCAGCTTCTCAGCTTCAAAATTCAAGCTTTTGAGTGTACATATCTAAAATGCCATTCCACTCGCAAAGCAAAACTATGCATACAATTAGTAATAACACATTCCATTCGATATCTATCGATTTCATAAAGCACACTTAAGAGTTTCAACTCTTCAATTTGTTAAAGCCTTTAAGCCTATATACATCACATTTCTCACATTGAAGAATCTTTTCTCAGCTTCACATCAGGAATTTCAATTTAAATTTAGAATTTATATCATAGAGATGAAATATTTATAGTATTTTTTATTTTTTTTTTTTTTTTTTATTTGTCATTTGAAATTGTTAAATGAATTTTAATTATAGCCAATTATTCGACAAAGCTTCCACTTTTATATAGTGACTCCATTAGGCAGAAACACACAAAAAGGAATGAAAACAAATTTCGGGACTAATTGAGGAGCCGCAAAAATCTGTAAAATCCAATTCAAGGTCAACAACAAAAGCAACGAGAATGACTGACTGGCTGACTGAGTGTGTCTCTCTTTCTCTCTCTCGCTCTCTCTCTCTCTCTTTTTCTCTCTTTCTGCGCCTCTGACTGTCTTTTTTAGTGCCGAAAAATTGTTTGAAGTTTGTGATGAGCGAAATATTTGTACAATCGATTTTCATTGAATAAGAAAATAGAATTTGAAGCAAGAAATGTTGCGACAATTATGTGAGCGTATGGGCGTGAGGCGGGGCCGCATTGGGGATTTGTGGCATTGTGTATGGCTGACAGCAGCTACACAATTGTGTGGCTGATTAGAAAGAGAGACAACGAGGGCGAGAGTGAAAGAGATGGCGCACAGAGAAAAGGCAATTTCAAAGCGTTTCTCAACTTAATCAAAAATGCATGGCATTCAATTTGAGCTAATGCGAAACGTAAGCCGCAATCGCCAGCAAATTAAACGCCGTCATTCACTTGAAGTGCATTTCAATTGCGAGCAGCGCGGACAGGTGAGCAGCTAAGCAGGTAAGCAGGTAAGCAGGTGAAAGTACAGGATACTGGCCCGCTGAATGCAGTCACATTGCCAGAAGCCCAACCAATTCAACCAGTTGACATGCTGCAGCAGCTTAACCAAGCAGCTGACCTCTGCCAGGAGCCACTGGGCTCGCTCCTCTTGGAACTCTGGCCGGTGCGCTGCCCCTGTCAGTCTGTCTCATTGTGTCCATTCGAGGACTATGAGAAATTGTATGGCGCCAAAGCACCTGGATTGGAGAAGAGAGCTACGTTTTACAAATCGAAAACAACAAAAAGCAGAGCGCGACTAGAGCAGCAGATTATGCCCGACTGGGTGGGATGGGGGTGGCGAATGAAGGGCCCTAATCTCTTGGCACGGCCCTAAGCCACAGTTCCTTTTGCAGCCACTGTTCGAGTGTCTTTCATTATGAATTGTGCCGTTAAAAGGCCAGGCATAACTAGAATAATAAGTACACGCAGTTAAGACTTCTATTACGAGCTGCACGCGGTAATGAAACGTTACAATAATCTCAGCTCGCCTTTTGTCAAGACACATTCCAGTCAGCAAGAGAGAGCGAGAGAGAGAGAGAGACATGCATATATATAGAAATGCCTTAAAAGCAGCGAGAGCGAGAGAGAGAGCCTGTAAATGATTTCAGTTATTTAAAATATTCCTTAAGGAAGTACGAAGAGGCTTGCAACTAAACTTGAGAACTCAATTTGAACTTTAATGTGAACTCAAGCCAACGCCCAGGGCGAAGCAGCTGCACGAAAAAAGAAATCAAATTGATGTAAAGTCATATCCGAGCATTTTGCAGAATTTCCTTTGAGCACGCGGGCATAACAAGCAGTGCGACCGACTAGCATATACCCTAACTGCCTTGCCAAGCAGTTGCTTAAGGCACTTATAGCTCACTTCAATACATTTTCATCACATTTCTCACACTTATTTATGGTATATACAGGGCTGTCAATATTCGACAGACTTACCTGGCAGCCCTACAAGGTTGCCCATATTCGTCGGACCCAAGTTTTTATACCCTGAACCCATTTTCAATGGGAAATCAGGGTCTAATGGTTTTGTTGAAATGTATGTAACAGGCAGAAGAAGGCGTGGCAGACCCCACACGGTATATATATTCTTGATCAGGGCGGCGAGCTGAGTTGATTTGGCCCTGTCCGTCTGTCTGTCCGTCCGTCTGTCCATCTGTCCGTATGTATGAAGGCTTCGATTTCAGAAGATATAAGAGCTAGAGACTTAAAAATTTTTTTTAAATGTCCGTACAGCGCGGATATCAAGTTTATCATTAAAAATCGATAACTCATCCCGATCTTTTTTTATCGATAAAAAACCTTATCGAAAACCAGTTATAAGATTATATCTCCTACACGTTTATTGCTAGAGTCTCCAAATTTTTTTATGTATGCTTATATGCAATTTATGCAACTTCGGTTTTTGTTAATATTTACCCCCCACCCCTATATCCACCCCCTCACCCACATGTTTGTAAAAAGCGTATTTCAAATAC